GGTGGGTATGTCCCACGGTTCTGCCAGGTATCAAAGTTACCGGGGTGGGCCAGGTTGTCAACTAACAAATATATAATAGTTAGTGTATACGTGTTTATAGCCTACCTAGGTCAGCTCTTAGGGGGTACAACACTTGTACTTGTATCTCCCCCACACCCTTCCTAGTCCCACTTTTCTCGTCACTCTAACATGGCATCTAGAGATGGGTTAGTTCCCCCTCTCACGCTTCCGCCCTAGCTTTAGCTCACCTCCTAGTCTAGCGCCGCTTCCTCACCTCCTCGCCGCTCACCTAGCCCCGCCCGTAAGCCCCACCACCCATGCTTCCTAACGCTTAGCCCACTGAGCCGCGCCTCTCGCTCGCAGCTCGCTCGCCCACTAGCCTGCAGCTCGCTCACCCTGCAGCTTGCTCATCCACAGCCCGCTCGCTCACTCGCCCCGCAGCGCGCAACAGTAGCTCGCTCGCAGCTAGCCGCCGCCGCCAGCTAGCTGCTGCCAGCTCGCAGTTAGCCGCTCCGCCAGCTAGCCGCCGCCAGCTTGCAGCTAGCCGCCGCCAGAGGCTCGCTCGCAGCTAGCCGCCGCCAGCTCCCTGCCGCTAGCGGCACACTAGCTGCCGCCAAGCTCGCAGCTCGCCGCCACCACCTTGCTACCAGCTCGCTTGCCGCCAGCTCGCCGCCCGCAGCTGCCAGCTCGCCAACACGCCCACTCACTCGCAGCTCACTCACTCGCTCGCTCGCCCGTAACCCCCTGCTCGCGGCAGCTCAGTGCCAGCTCGCACCAACCCGCGCCTCCCCACAGGAACCCGCGCCAGCCAGTTGCCAGCCGCCAGGTGCCAGCCGTCGGCCGCCAGATTCCAACCACCAGCTCTGGCCGCCAGCTGCCAGCCGCCAGCGCCCGCCCGCCACTCGCTGTCTGCCGCCATGGCGACCCCGCCTGCCTCTGTCCTCCGCTTGGACGCCAAACGCTGCGCGCTTGGCTTGTCTGCCTGGCTGGACCCCCTTTGCCGCCAGCTCAAGTCCATTCGCCAGGATGGCCAGGCCCTGGTGACTTACACTTCTCGTACGTTGCCCGCTCCCTTAGAGCCTGCTCCTCTTGCTGCTGACGTGGCGTCCAAGCAGCGGGCGGTGCACGAGAGTACCCTAGCCACCCTCTCTGTCAGGGAGTCCCGCGACACAGTTGTGCATCTAGCATTCACTAGGGCCCTTTCCTTAGACGAGCAGACCCACTTTGAGACTGCTAAGGAAATCTGGGACGCACTTGTCGCTCACTACTCTAACCAGTCCTCTGCTACCCTAGGTCGTCTCCTGCTGCTATTTCTTTTCGCCGACCTTGCCTCCTTCTCCACTGTCGTGGACCTAGTCATCCACTTGCACTCCCTTGAGGCTCGCTGGCGTGCAGCCTGCCCTGAGGACCAGCGCACCACCCAATTCTCACCTATCTACATGACCCTGTACCTCCTTGCAGCCTGCCTCCCTGGCCGTCTCGCCCATGCGCGAGACGCTCTCCTCGCCCAGCCCCTCGCCATCCTTACTGTCGCTGAGTTCTCTACATCCCTGATTACGGCTGAGATGCGCCTCCGTGCCATCGCTAACACCACTGGCACAGTGGCGGACCCTGTCTTCTAAGGCTCCTCTTCCCCCTAGCTCCCTGTCTTTGGGGCCTCCGCCTCTGTTGCGGAGGTCACCGAGACAGCTGCCGCGGTCACCACGCCTAGTCGCTCCTCGGGTACTTGGAGCAAGTGCAAGGGGGGCAAGGGTCGTGGGGTGTCGGCAGCGGCGGGTGGAGGGGGTGCTGGGGCAGACACAGAGGTTGGTCCAACGGAGATGGGGGCTACGTAGCAGCAGCAACAGCAGCAGCCACAGCAGAGGTCGTAGCAGCAGCAGCAGCTGCCGTGGCGGCTGGCGGGCCCTGGGAGTGGTGGTCGTGGTGGAGAGCGTGGCGGCTGGACCCCGGGGCAGTCGGTGCTCTGGGGGTCGCGTGGCTCCTCTATGGGCCATGGCTCTGGAGGTCCTAGAGGCTTTGGGACCTGTACGTACCAGCTGTTAACCGGCCCCCAGGCCGGCCAGGTCTGCGAGCACACGGGCCACCTCGCCGCCCGCTGGTACCGCCGCGTGGACGACCTCTACCGCCGCCAGTTTGGACTTCAGCAGCAAGTACCGGACTGGCCCTCTCTGCTTCATCGGGCATTCAGATCTTCGATCTCAACATGTTTCAGATAGGACATACCTTGTGCCCTGTGTACACTGATGACTCTGTTATCACTGATTCATTTTACCCTGCTGTTTGTAGTCTAGGATCCATTGCTGTGTGTAGTCCAAGATCCCCTGTTGTATCAGGCGTAGGCTCTCCAAGTCTTCCTTCGCTGGCCCTGGCCCCCGCTACAGCGGCCCTCTCCTTCACCCTCGACTCTAGCATGTCCCACTGATTCTTCCGAGACCACACTACTCTCACCCCGCTTCCTGCACCGGTACCAGTCTCCCTAGCAGACTCCCCAGCCATAGTAGTTGCACGCAGCACCATCACTCTCCTCTTTCCACCTGTCCCCTCTGGCTCCCTCACAGGTCTGCACATCCCGACGTTTGACAGGAACTTAGCTGGTGTAAGTTGCATTAAGGACCTAGGCGTCACCACTACTCTTCCTGGCCATAAGAGACACGCAGCCTGTACGGACACAACCATGGGCGCCCCTCTATCCTCTTTTGACCATAACCCAGAGTCCGGTCTCTTCACGCTGCACACAGAGTCCCCGCCGGTTGCTGCCTCCGTTGAGGTATCCGTGTCGTGCACTTGTCGCTCCCTCGCCCACCTGGCCTTCTGTGGCACCACCACTTAGGTCCCCATGCACTTCCGCATCTCCGTCACATGTCACAGCACGGTCTAGTCATTGGTCAACCTGCGTCGCTCCCAACCCTGCCTCCACCGGTACCGCCCCTGTACACCTCCTCCTTTGAGGGCCGGTAGTGCGCCGATCCTCACTCCTCCTCGTTTCCTCCTACCACAACATGCTACAGACTCTGCACATGGACGTTTGGGCCCTTGCCCTGGTGCATGGTCTGAGAGTACTAGCGGTGTTGGGGCTGAGATCTTGGCATGGGTCGGGAGAAGCAGCAGCAGCCGCAGCCGCAGCAGCAGTGGCAGCAGCCTAGTCTGCCCTTCATCTCCTTGGTCTTTCCTCCATTTCCCTTGACCGACCGCATGTCCCTCCTACTGTGCCTCCCTTCCCGCCTGACCCTGTCTACGGCCCGTTGTCCGCCCCCCTTGGACTCCTCTCCGTCTCGTTTCCCCCCTCGCTCTCCTCCGTCCCCTGTCCTGTCCCCCGTTCCCCCTCGTCCCCAGTCCACTGTCCTTCCCTCTTAGGTCCGTCGTCCCCCTGCTGGTCGTCCTGTCTCTCCTCATGCTTGTGTCCACCCTATGATGCCTCGTTCTAGTGCTCCTTCAGTACCCGTTCTTCTGTTCCCTCCCCAATTGTCGCCCCCCCTCTCCCCTTCTCTTTCCACCGGTTTACTCATCAATCCGTACTCACCACGGTCTTGGAACTCTTTTTTGTTATGTGCAGTCCGCACGGCTTCACTGCTGGGCCTTGGAGGAGGTCGCCACCGTGGTGTGGAGCAGGCAGCGGCCGCCGAGGATATGCTTAACCACGAGTGGGGCGTTGGGAGCACCAGCGGACTGGCTGAAGCTGTGTCCGTGATGCAAGCACAGCTGGTTGAAGTTATGAAGGCGGTGAGCCTGTTGAGCCAGCTGCTGCAGCTGGTTGCCCAAATCGGAGACTTGTCTAAGATGCTGACCGAGGTGAAGATTGTGGCAGCGGAGATTCGAGCGGCCCAGGCGTTGGTGTGCCCTCCAACATCCACCCCCGCTGGTCAGAGGAACGCGGAAGGCATACCCAGCTCAGTGGATGACGTGCTGGCCGACGACTGGAATGCAATAGCAAAGACCATCCCGAAATCTAACGAGCTCTCGGTGAGTGCTTGCTGACCAGATTATTGGGTAAGAACTGGTTAGTGCGTTTTCAGGTTCTATGGTTTTCTGGTTTCGTTGGCATGTCGTTTCATGGTTTCTGGTTCTCTGGTGTCTAGTGCCATGTTCTCTGGATTCGGGTTCTCTGGTTTCCAGAGCCCAGATTTATGGTCTCTGGTTTTCTGGTTTCTAGTGCCCTGTGCACTGGACTCTGTTTTTCTAGGCTCCAGAGCCCAGTTTTCAGGTTTCTGGCTCTATGGTTTCCAGGGCCCGGTTTGATGGCTTCTGGTTCTATTGCTTCCACTGCCAAGTGTCCTGGTTTCAGGTTCTCAGGTTTCCAGAGCCCTGTTTTCTGGTTTCGTAGGTCTGGAATCCGGTTATATTTTCCCTATTTTTGCCAGCCTTCTACGTTTCCAAGTGCTTCCAGATTTCTTATTACGGCTTTCGGGGTCCACTGGTTTTCCGGTTGCTGTTTCTTTCCACGTTGGTGCTCTTTGGTTTGTGGCAGGGGAAGCTGGTCGGGGTTTTCATACAATGCGTCAGCGTGCCGGTCGACGGCAACTCGGATTCCCTCTCCATGTGGCCGGATAATGAAACGGTGGCAGCCAACCCTGTGGTACGGCAGGCGATTCCCCCAACAAGGAGCCGCGCTTGGCGTACCTGCTGAAGTTCTCGTAGGCCCACCTGAAGACGTGGTCAAAGGTGGCAAACCGGATGCGGGCAGCGATCATACGGTGGGGGAAGACGGTGCTTTTTGCCATTCTCAACATCTGGCGGCCAGTCAAGGACATGCCCAAGGGTCTGAATTGGGAGGTGGTTCGACCTGGAAGCAGGAGATGCTCTCTAGCCAAGGCATATGGCCTCGTCAAGCCAGGTAACCTCATGCCACACATGGCTGCCATGGAAGCGCTCTGTCGCTTTGTTCTCACGGACCGTCACCCTGCATGTGTTTCTTTCTTTGTTGTAGGCTGCTTCTGCCTGGTGTGGCACTGTGATGGCAAGGGCATGCCATTCGCAACGTGCCGATGGTGATCGTGCTCGAGAAGGAACTTGCTGCCATCTCCATGCGACCAGGGGACGATGTGAAGCCGGTCCTTGACAAGATCAAGGACACCTATGCAAGGATGGCAGCAGCCGGCAGCAGTGTATCTCAGCTGCAGCAGTGCACCAAGATCATCTCGGTGTTGGACAACTCTTGGGACAACCTCATCCCCACCCTCAACTCTCAGCAAGATCAATGGATACCTGAGTGGCTAAGGCAGCAGATTCTGCAGAAGGACTTCCGCAGATACCATGTGGGAGGTGGTGCCTCCACTAAGACTGCTGAGGGGTATGGAGCTACAGGGCGCGGCAGAGGAAGAGGGGGTTGGAGAGGCCGAGGCCGTGGAAGGAGCTTTGGCAGAGGTAGAGGCCGAGGTGAATATAATGAGGGGCATGGGAGCGCCGGTCGTAGGGGGAGTACCAGAATGGAGGGCACCTGCTGGTACTGCAAGAAGGTCGGGCATCCTTGGTTCAAGTGCTTCAGCAGGCCGGAGGGATGGGCACCTCCAGGCATGAAGCCGCCAAGTGGTGAACGCGCGCAAGGTGGCGCTGTGCAAGGCTCAGATGCACAAGGTGAAGGTGCACAAGGTAACGCCTATCCTGGGATGTTTCTCATGGTTGAGGAAGTGCATGGGCATGAGGGTGATGTGGGATCTGTGGGAAAGGTTGTGATGCACCCTCTCATGCACTGGGTGATTGATTCAGGTTGCACCAGTCACATGACCCCACGGACAGATTTGCTTGATGAGGTAAAACCCCCTGGGAAGATTAAGTATGTGGCAGCAGCGTCAGGGGCTTTGCTCCCTGTCATTGGTGTTGGAAATGCCAAGGTTAAGGGAGCTAATGGGGAGCTTGTGGGGCTTGGGAATGTTCCGCTGGTTGAAGGTTTGTCTGCTAACCTTCTATCTGTGCAGCGACTGCAGAAGAGCAAGGCCGAAGTGACCTTTGGACCAACCAGCCGCCGTGCTAAGCTTGGGAAGAAGGTGCTGTGGAGTCTGGAAGAGGAGACCAGCTGCATCAAGGACCTGTGGCAGCTGCCCATCATCCCTTGGACTGGGAAGACTCCAAGAGCAGCAACGGCAGCAGCGGCAAAGGCAACAGCAGGAGGAGATGCAACTACACCAACTGATGGGGTCCTGGAAGCAGTTAAGAAAGTGCAGCAGCAGCAGACACATGGTGAGGTGCTTGCTGGTGTGGATGCGAGTGCGGCATGGGCTAAGGCTTCATCAAGGAGTGGTGAGGCCGATTGGGAGACATGGCATGAGAGGCTGTGTCATGTGAACTTCCATATGCTGCAGAAGTTGGTGAAGGATGGGAGCCTAAAAGGATTGGAGGTCAAAGGGGGAGTGAAGGAGATTGGGAGCTGCCCTACATGCTTGGAGACCAAGTTCTCCAAGTTCCCCTTCAACAGCACTACAGGACCAGCCAAGACCCCACTTGCACTTGTGCACATGGATGTGGTGGGGCCCACAAGAGCCCCTTCCCTCTCAGGCAGCCGCTATGTCTTGACAATTGTGGATGACCACACTCGAGCAGTGTGGGTTTACCCTTTGAAGAGCAAGGGGGAGGTGGCAGCGGATGTCCTTAAGGAGTGGATGCCTAGAGCTCAGAGGGAATGCGGACACAAGGTGAAGGTGATCCGCACTGATAATGGTGGGGAGTTCATTGGAGCTGATTTTGAGGGGGAGTTGAAGAGGAAGGGGATCCAACATCAACTAACAGTGCCCTACAACCCGCAGCAGAATGGCGTGGCTGAGAGGTTCAACAGGACCCTGCAGGAGGGGGCACACACTCTCCTTGGGCGTGCAGGGCTGCCTGATCCGTTTTGGGTGTCTGCACTGAGGCAGGTCGCCCTTGTGAAGAACGGGTTGCTAGCTACAGTTGGGGATAAGGAGTGGATCCCATATGTCAAGTGGTATGGGAGTGCTCCAGCTGTGAACATGCTGAGGGCATTTGGGTGCATGGTGGTGTTTCATGTGCCCAAGGAGAAAAGGGGGAAGTTGGAGGCTTCTGGAAGATGGGGTGTGCACTTGGGGATGGCAAAGGATCACAACGGGTGGCTGCTATGGGACTTGACCACCCAGAAGCTAACAGTGTCAAGGGATGTGAAGTTTCTTGAGTCCCTGTACTACAAGGAATGGAAGCAGCAGCAACAGAAGCTTCCATCTACACCGCTAATTGTGGAGGCAGATGAGTTGCAGCAGCCTTCAAGATAGGTGGAGGTTGCAGTGTCTGAGGAGGAGATGTCTGGGGTGACTGAGGAAGGGGGAGCAGCTGAAGTGGAGCAGCAGCAGCAGCAGCATGAGTCTCCACCTCGAGTTCCACACCCGCCTGAGCGACCTAGGAGGGATGTGCGCCCTCCAGTGAGGCTGACCTATGGGGGAAGAGGCAAGCCGAATGTGGTGCAGGCTGGGAGTGTGGTTGAGCAGATTGAGGAAGATGAGATCGCTCACTGCTACTGGGCACCAATCCCTGAGCCCAAGACTCGAGAAGAGGCCTTGAATGGACCAAGTGGGGAGAAGTGGAAGGCGAGTGAGAATGAGGAGTTCGGTTCCCTGATTGAGAACGAGACATGGGACCTGTGTGACTTGCCTCCTGGGAAGAAGGCAATCACTTCCAAGATGATCTACAGGCACAAGTATGGACCTGAAGGGGAGCTGACCTGCTACAAGTCTAGGCTTGTGGCAAGGGGGTTTCAGCAGACAAAGGGGAAGGACTATGATGAGGTGTTTGCTCCTGTAGGGAAAGGAACAACACTGAGGGTGCTGTTGGCGATAGCTGCACTCCTGGGATGGAAGATATGGCAGATGGACATTGTGACTGCCTTTCTGAATGGGATCATTCTGGAGGAGGTGTACATGAAGCAGCCAGAGGGGCTGGATGATGGGAGCGGCAGGGTCTGCAGGCTGAAGAAGGCATCTATGGCCTTAAGCAGGCGCCTCGTGCATGGTATCACAAGTTGGAGGAGGCACTACTGGCTGGGGGTTTTAAGAAGAGTGAGTGTGACCCTAGCGTGTTCCTGCTGCAGGAGAAGGATGAAAGCCTCATGCTCTTGGTGTATGTGGATGATATCCTTCTCTTTTCTGCATCAACTGCTTTGCTGGATAGCGCAGAGCAGATGCTGGAGATGCAGTTCAAGTGCTCCAAGATGGGTGAGGTGAAGTACTACTTGGGGATGCATGTGGAGAGAGATGTGGAGAAGGGTGTGTTGAGGTTGCACCAGAGGAAGTACTGTGAGGGGCTGACTGAGAATTATGGGCTGCAAGATGGGGGAAAGCCAGCAACACCACTACCATCGGGGTTTACTGTGGAGCCATGTGCTGATGAGGAGGTAGTGGGTGAGAGTGACAGGAAGCTGTTTCATTCGATGGTTGGTTCTCTGAACTATGCTGCAAATCATACACGGCCTGACATTGAATTTGCTACATCACGGTTGGCTAGTGTGGTCTCACGCCCTAGTCATGAACAGCTGGAAGCGGCCAAGAGGTTGGTCCGCTATGTGAGTGCTACGGCATCAGTGGGATTGGAGTACTGTGGAGTGAGGCAGCGGTTGCAGAGAGGTGCTGCAGATGTGAAGAGTGGAGAGGTGCGGCATAAGTGAGATGTGGTGGTGCTGTGAGTTGGCGCCGCAAGAAACAGAATGAAGTGGGATTGTCCTCATGTGAGACTGAGTACATGGCCTTACATCATGGGGCTAAGGAAGTGGTGTGGCTGAGACGCTTGTTGGAGGAGTTGGGAGTTGGCCGGGAGGAGCCGACAGTTGTGTTCTGTGACAATGAGTCTGCAGTGAAGCTGGCCAAGAATGCTTGTCTGCATGGGCTGACAAAACACATAAGGCCTAAGTGGCATTGGTTGATGAGACTCCTTGATAATGGGGTGCGGCTGGAGATAGTGAAGACCCATCAGCAGGCAGCGGATAATTTCACTAAGCGTCTTGCGGAGGCGGATCATTGGAAGGGCATGAAGGTTGTTGGGATGAGTGTGCGTTGAGTATGCATGCTTGAGATGTTGGTATGGTGGATGATGGTTGGCAGCTAGAGGGGGAGATTGTTGTGTGATCTCATCATATGCTACCACATTCTGTCTGCCTCCCATCCCATATTTTTCAACTTGCATGTGTGGTTTGAACGTGTGCAAGAATTTGTGTGTGATGTGTTCTGTAGTTTGGGAATGTGTTTTGTGCTATTTTGTTTGAGCAGGTATTTTGTGATGATAGATCTTGAGAAGATCATTCGGACGCAACAAGAATCGCTTCAATCGGAGCAAGAGCGTCAAAGTTATGAATATTCAAAGTTTATGAGCTTGCGTTACAATTGTGGCGGTTACGAAGTGAAGTTGTGGAGTGACTCTATATGGAGTTGGGACCTTTGGGGTTGGGGAAATTAGTCACTCTACTGTAACAGCTGCAAATTGGTTGGGAACAACCAAGCTAGGTTGGCAAGGGTGGCCAACTTGGATGGATTGGTTGGGAAGGGACAAATGTCAAAGTTGGGGTTCCTATAGGGAGGGAATCTTTGTGCTTATGAGGTTTCCTTGGTTGGGGACTCTCTTGGGACCTTCCGTCTCATCCCTCTCTTCTATCCCAACCTTTCCCTTGCTCCTCTAATTCCTTGTGAGATTCTTGAACTTTTGAGATTGAGTTAAGTTCTCCTCCTACAGCTTACCCCCCAGTGCGTCGAAAGACATAGTGTCGCGAATACTCTATTAATCGACAAGATTCAAATTGAGAACGGTAGCTAAGATTACAAGCTACAACATATCCGAGTTTTGGGACATTCAAACGGCTAGTTTTCCTTGACGTTGTTTCTTGTGAAGACGACTTTTCTGTCCAGAATTTCGGATTTATATTTTAAGTCATTCTAGCTCCTAAACACACCTAGACTCCGTCCTTAATCCTAACATGGGGGTGGCCCTAGTGGTGGAGGGAGTCCTTGTTCTGGGGTTGCTAGTTCAGGGGGTGCTAGTTCTGGGGGTGCGGACGTGGAGTGTTCCGGTGGTAGCCGTGGTGAGGCTGGCGGTACAGGTGTCGGCGTCGTGCAGCAGCAGCAGCAATCACCGCCGGTGTCCGCTCTTCGCCTCCTCGGCCTCCCCTCCCCTGACCGCTCGCCTACGCCTCCACCGCCCGCTTCTCCAATTCCTGTCTATGACCCTGTGTTCCCTCCGCCGGACTCCTCCCGCGCTTGTCTCCCCCCTCGTTCCCCTCCTGTGTCTCCCCCTTTGTCTCCTGGCCGGACGCCTCCGTCTCACGTCTGGTCTGGTCGTCCCTCTCGTGCTCGTCCTGTGTCTCTTATCTCTCGCTCTCACCCTATGTTGCTCCGTTCCCATGCATCTTGTCCTGCTGTCGCCTCCTCCGTCGTCGCTTGTCGTCGCTCCGCCTCCCCTGTCTCACTACCTTCGTGCCACGCGTCCCCTTGTTCCTCGGGTCCTTGCCTCTCTCGTTACCGACCCGTCTGTACCTGTCTCGAGTCTTGACGCTCTTGTCGATACTGTCATTGACTTCGCCTCTACACGCCGCCTTGACTACGCCACCGCTCTGGACTCTGACCCTGCCCGTCTTCCGTCTGTCGGGGGTGCTCCTGCCCTTGGCAGTGATGTTCTAGAGGACAGGCAGTACGAGCTCGCTTTCCTGTCTGAGGCTGCTCGCCATCTCTGTTCCATGCTCCTAGTCCCTGAGGGTGACCCAGGCGCCTTTGACATCCCGACCCCTCGTAACTACGCTGAGGCCACCTTGGGACCCTGGGCCTCTCAGTGGATAGCTGCCATGGAGCAGGAGATGGCATCTTCGAGATCCACCGGCACATATGTTGAGGCAGTTCCCCCGCCTATGGTGAACGTAGTCGATGGCCGGTGGCTCTTCAAGGTGAAGCGCCCCCCTGGAGAGCTGCCTGACTTCAAGGCGCGCTACGTGGCTAGAGGCTTTAGTCAGCGCGAGGGGGTGGACTTTTTCCAGACCTTCGCCCCGACCCCGAAGATGACTACTCTTCAGGCGCTGCTACACGTAGAAGCACAGCGCGACTACGAGCTCCACTCCCTCGACTTCTCTACTGCATTACTTCAGGGTAGCCTACACGAGCAGGTCTAACTCCGCCGTCCACAGGGCTTCACTGGTACCTTCTCTCCTGGGACCCAGTGGCTTCTCAGGCGCCCGGTCTTCGGCTTGCGCCAGGCTCCTCGTGAGTGGCACGACACGCTGCGTGCCACGCTAGCTGACCTGCAGTTCTTTCCGTCCTCTACAGACCCCTTGCTCTTAATTCGTGCTGGCCAGACTTCTACATCCTAGTCTACGTAGATGACCTGGTCTTCGCTACTGCAGACAGAGACGCAGTGGCCTCTATGAAGGCCGAGCTGCTAAAGAGACACACCTGCACTGACCTAGGAAAGCTGCGTCGCTACCTTGGCCTGCAGACCTCCAGGGACAGAGCAATGCGCACTATCACTCTCACACAGTCACACTTGGTGCGCCAGGTCCTTCAGAGATTCGGTCTTCAGTTCTCCTCTGCACAGCCCACACCTCCACCTGTAGACCACAGGCTCTCGGAGCCTGGTTCTGAGGAGTCAGTAGAGCCCAGTGGTCCTTACGCAGAGCTGGTGGGCTGCCTCATGTACCTGATGACTTGCACTTGTCTAGATCCCGCGTACCCTCTCAGCATCCTGGCCCGCTTTGTGGCCACAGGCAGACACCGACCTAAGCACTGGTCGGCCGCTAAGAGGGTATTGCGGTATCTAGCAAGTACATCAGGCGTGGGGCTAGTGCTTGGAGGACGCAGACCAGTGGTCCTTTCTGGGCACACAGACGCTTCTTGGGCAGACGACGCTGTGACCCTCAGGTCGTCGCAGGGCTACTGTTTCAGCCTTGGTTCGGGTGCCATCTCGTGGAGATCCACTCGCTCGTCGTCTGTTGCTCAGTTTAGCTGTGAGGCAGAGATCTACACCGGTGCCATGGCGTCAGAGGAGCTCCGCTGGCTGAATTTCTTGCTCACAGACTTAGGTGAGCGGCCTAGCTCTGCCCCGGTCCTGTACGCTGACAACAAGGCCATGATTCTCCTGTGTCAGGAGCCTCGACTTGAGGGCAGAGCGAAGCATATCCATTTGCGTTACTTCCTCCTGCGTGAGCTGCAGCAGCGTCTCCAGGCACGCGTAGTGCACTTAGCCTCCGGTGCCAACACAGCTGATAACTTTACTAAGGCGCTTGCGCCTAAAGATCATCAGTGGCACTGTGTACAGCTTGGTCTTGATTGTAGCTACTCACTTGCTAGGGCCTTGATTGTATACTCCTCAATATATATACGTGTCTGATTGGCCTTGTGGCTTTATCTTCAGTTGCTGGACTAGTAGTGCCGCCCTGGCTTGCTCTTGTCTTGTTTGTAGTCTTCTGACTGGTCTTCAGACCCCTGCCTCAGTGATTGGACTAGTAGTGCCACCCTGAGTTGTGTGCTTGTTCAGCACTACCCCTTATCTAGCCTAGGGGGTGTGTCAATTTATACATACATTGCATGAAGAAGTTATAGGCTAGTATCGGTGTGTGCTCCTAGTGAGTACAACCCAACTGCTATATGTTCCTTGTTCTCTCTCTATCTAGTAAAATCATTATAGTATTCTAACAGTATTGTCCATATTTCCCAGTTGACAGTCTCCACGATAACCTTACGCCACTCCCCTGACCTCTTTTCCCGTCTGTGGCAGGCATTGACAAGCGCCAAGCACTGCGGGAGTTGCCACACTTCACCCCGATCCTTGCTGCACTTCCGAAGAGCGAAAGAAGCTTCCATGCCGGCCTCACTGCGATGCTGAAGACAGCAGATTGGCAAGATGCCGACCCCAACCTCATGAAGCTGTGGGTGGCCGTGGCCGTGCTTCCGCTGAGCACAGTGGAATGTGAGCGGGGATTCTCACGACAGAACGTCATCAAGTCGTGGCGGCGGGGTTGCCTGCAGGACACACGGCTGAGCGATCTCGTGTGCATCAGTCTGCTGGATTTTGAGCCTAACTGGGACGAGGTGGTGGACGTGTGGCGGGCATACAAGAAGAGGAAGCCTTTCAGTACTGTGGCACAACCTAGGCTGGTCAAGAACAAGGGAAAGGAGGTGGTGGAGGAGGGACTTGTAGAAGAGTCGACCCTTTACCCTGCCATGGATGAATGAGATCAAGGCCTATTTTATCAGAGTAATTTACTCTGTTTCTCTGAAAATCAGAGTCGTTTTTGAAAACTACTCTAGGGGCCCTGAGTAAACAAAATGAATTTACCTTTTACTCTGATTTTATCAGAGTAAACCTTCGTACCACTCTGATGGTCAGTGTATAGGGGGGAATACCCGTGAAATTGTCCCCGCCCCCTGTACCTAGCCGTGCCCCCATGTCCCGTAGACCAGGGCATGTCACGCGCACCAGCGAAATCATCGACTGGCCCGTGCTCAAGGCTGTGTGAGGGGGCCAATTGTCCATTCGCCAAAAACACCGAGCCATTTGTGCTCGAAAGGGGAGGGGAGTGCAAGATTCCCCTTCCCCGCCCCTGCTGTGTCGACCTCCCCTACCAGCTCGATTCCCTCCGCCCCTGCAATCTCTCGATCCTTCCCCTTCGTTTCCCCCCCATCTCCCGATCTTGCCTCGCGCGTACAGATGATGACCCTGCTGTAGAGCGTTACGTAAAAAACCCCTCTGCTTTATCAGTGTAATTTTTTTACAAATAAAAAAAACCCTAGAAAATCAGAGAAACCATTGGGGAGCACTCTGATTCTCTGAGTAATGAAAAAAGGCACTCCCTGATTTCAGAGTAGTAAAAATCCAAAAAAAAGGCCCTGAATGAGATGCTGAATCATTGTTGGATGCACTGTAATTATGTATTTCAAGCCTTGATGTCATCTTCCAATACAAAAAGCACAAAACCACAGTCAGACCCGAAATCAAGGGACCCTGAAAAAAACAGGCTTCCTTTCAAAAGCAGTCCTCACTCAAAAGCTTGGTTTGCACTAGGCGTCCTGAAAATACAGGCAAAAAACGATCGCCACCCCTGAGTCATCAGGAGGAGGCCTCAAAACCTATCTAGGGGCCTGGCAGGTAACCCCATATTGAAGTCACAGGTATCCGCAGCCATGTCACCGGTAAAAGGCATCACTGAATTGCGACGACTTTAAGAGGCTTCTCGATGTGTCAGCAGCAGCCCTAATGTGCAAACGGCTATGCAGTGCAGAGAATTGAACGGACCGTGCGGGGAGGATCCCGGTCCCTGGTGGTGGGGAGGGGGGAGGTGTGATGATGATGGAGTAAGACAACACACTAGAACACACAGTAGCACCAAGGGCGACTCTCTCTACTCCCCTCACTCCCTCCAACCACTTCACTCATGCCACTCACTCCACTCCCTCCACCCACCTCACTCCCTCCACTCGGGAAGTTCCAGGGCTCAAAGTGCGGTCGGCGCGTGTGGCTCACTGCTGCAACAGGGATAACTCACTAAAACCACACCCCGCTCACACTACTCACCTCCCCCTCCTCCCTCCCCCCACTCCCTCCACTCACTCCCTCCACTCACTC